ATTTTGTTCAACGTTTATGGCTATTGAATTTCCGAGTCCTCTCAAATCGCTAAATCAAAGCCCATTCAGAAACTAATTACAAAATCAAAACTTATAATGAGCGGCAAATTAGAAATTTTTCGATTGCCCTCAAAAATCAGGCAACAAACGGCCAGCAAATCAGGTGAAAGGGCAGCCATTTTGCGATTTTAATTAAATCCGGCTATTCCGGTGGCTTTTCCGCCGCATTTGCTGCCACTAGGGCCACTTGAGTGTGTATGCAAAACCCGCTCTTGGCCATATTCAAAATGAGTTTTTGGTCCTGGTTTGGTTTTTGGCCAAAATGCTGCTCTACGCCCTGATGGCGAGCCACTCGAAACAAATATTTTCGGCCCCTTTCGACCGTTTTTCGGGTCCGCCAAAAATTAATTTCAATTTTTCTGGTTCCATTTTGCAATGCCAAAAATAATGCAAAACCTAAACAGATTTTACGGTGGCCTGTCATTGTTTTAATTGGAAATTTATTTGGTTATGCTCGCAGCACTAATAACTGCGTTTTTAATTGCATATTGTTGGATGATGGGGGAGTTGGGTTGTTGGATTTTAATTAAAATCATGGCCCAGCTGCCATGGTAAAGCGGATTTCGAGGATCATAACTTGCTAGTGGAATTATTAGTTATGATGTCAACAAATGCGGGGAAATAGTTTCAGTCACAAAAACATTACTACATTTGAAAAGACTGTAACTAATGTAGTAAATTGTTATATTTACATAAACACTCTGCAATACACATCTATATTGATTCTATGTTATTTAAAAATACTAAGCTTATAAATACCTAATTATATAGTTAATTTGGGCTTATTATCTACCTTATTTACTGACTCTTTCAATGTGAAAGTTGCTGATCTATGGGTCAACATTTTCTGTTAATCCTTAGAATTTAATGTATCATTAATTATTATAATTAGTCCTTCACAGGACTTGTGTTTATTGGGTTACTAAAACTGCGACCTACGGAAAGTTCTTAGTTACAACCATCAGGATTACATTTAAATGGTTTGGTCTTCCTACGAAATAAAATTTACACCCACAATTAAATTGTGTAACATTATAATACGAAACCTGGAGTTATTAAGTATTTCAGCAAGTGATTAAAGTTCAAAATTCATAAAAGTATTCTTTTGATTTTCCCACCAGATAATGCCGCAGAATTTGGGTCTGAGGACCTTTTCACCTGGGCCATTTCGCGATTCCGGCACACTTTCCCAAGCTTTAGCGTTGAGCGATGGGATCCCGGGCCTACTTACAAAGCGGGAGGCTAAGTGGGCGGGGAAAACCACCCCAGACAAAGGACACACACAATCGTATTCGAGGGCAGGAAAAATCATCCCCTTCGATGGGGAATCGCGTGCTCGCTCTTCCAATCGCCATCTCTGTCTGTCCCGCTTGGGGGTTCGCTTCCTCGCTCATAAAGCGTTGGAAATTATGGAAATTAATTGAAATTCCAAGGATGCCGTTTGCTCTTTTGCCGAAACCAACAAATTACCATCATTATGCGAAAGCTCGGGCTCCCTTTCTCCTCCTTTCTTCGGTTAAACTTTGCCAAATGCAAACGTTGCCTAATTTTAGGCGCTGCGGTTGACCAACACTGTGTGTGGTGTGTGTGTGAGTGAGCTGCACTTGCATTGGTATTTAATTAAGCTAATTAATTATCAGAGTCATTATGTGTGTATGTACACAACAAAAAAAGCGTATGCTTTTGATTGACTGCCGGCGCACTTTACTTTCCCATTTCCCATGGCTCAAACATATTTCCGCCGCCCACAGACGTTGCCCTCGCCCCTCGCCCTTGAAAAACCACCCCCTGCCGGCAGCAACAACAAAAAAAAGTCATATTAAAAATCATTCGCTTGTGAAGATCAAAAGCATTCTTTTTCACCGAAATGCCATGAAGAATGATGTTGCGTGGGATGAAGGGGAGAGAGGGGAGGGGAGGTGGGGACGGGTGGATTCCTGTAAGTGAGCGGCTCTCTCACTGCCATGTTGTTGTTGTTGTTGTTGTTGCTCTGCCTCTGCTGCTCTCAAGTATTCAACCAAAAATGCATGGGCCACGCACACACACTCGCATGCACCTTACATGGAGTCTGCCTACCTATACGAAGGAGAGAATGGAAGGGAAGAAAGGAAGAGGAAAAGTACACTGTTAAAATTGAAAAAAATATTCATTTTAAGTAAGCTTTATATTTTTAAACACTTTTATTATTCACTTGAACAATTGACAAACTTTAAAAATGTGGCATTCTGAAAATATTGTAAATATAGAATGTTTTTGAAAAGACACTTGTAATATTAAAGAATTATATTCGGTTTTTAGCTATATTTTTTCAGTGTTGTAGTGGGATATCACGGTATAATCTTACATGTACTTGTGTGCGTAAGCTCGTTTATTTATTTATGGTTTTTTCGCATTCAACCACCAACAACAACAAGCGAAATTCCATCCACATACACACATATAAATATTGCTCGGCCCTGTGCACATTTATTAAATATTATTGCTCTTGTTTTGCGCTCTACTTGACTTTTTTTATTGCCCATCAATGGCAAGAGGGCGGATAACTGCTCTGCTTCCCTCCCCCTTTCTTCCTCCCCTCGCACTTTTTCTTCATCTTTATGATGCTGGTTTATATAGGTATTGTATGTATGTATGTAATTCCTGCTGGTTTTCTGGTTGTTGTTATTGCCTTTGTGGTTGTTGGCGCCCTTGTACCGTTTATTAATTTTAATGGCTGCCACCAAATGAATAACGGTTAATCAATAAGAGGCATGCCACCATTTTGTTAAAATCTCAGCAAGGAAGTTAACGAGGAAATTGTTATGAAAATATATTACACTTTCCTTACGAGAAAAAATCAAGATGCATTTTTATTGTAAAAATTTTAAAAATTACTTGTTTGAAATTGACTTCCTTTTACTAAAATGTATTCAAATAAATAAACGTTTTTGTTTAACTAATAATAAACATGATTTTAAAAATATATGAGTTTTTAAGTTTTCTAGATCCTAAGATCCTAAAAATAAATGATTTCCTAAAAAGCTAATCTTAAGAATTCACCAATTTTTAAATATACTTTAACTCAAGGTTCTTAAGATGAATTTTTCTGGCACCCTCTTATTGCTAAGCCCTGAAAATCCAACCTCAACGCTATCATTCTGTTTCGAATCAATATTTACGAAAGCAGTCTAAGGACATAAATCAGTAGGCAATTACTGGCAACCCCCTCCAGCTTAATTAGATGCGCCCATGAAGAAGCATCTGCACCTGCACCGGAGCCGAACAATCGCATTTTCCACAGTTCCCATGGACTGCACGCCGTAATCGCATTTCGGCATTGTCGCAACTTGCGGCACAAATAAACCACCCCGCCGCTTAGCGACTCCGTTTCCCGGATTCGAGTACGGATTCTCCGCCTAAAACCATCATCAAGTGGCGCAAATTACAGATCAAACAGGCAGTCAGTCGGTCGGGGGGTGAATGCGGAAGCAGGACCTCGTTGTTTTGGGTGACCATTTGTCAAGAAGGATGACAACATTACGCTGGAAATTAAATAGCGTAATAAAAGGGTGACTTAATTTGTTTTTTGCCCAAACGGCGGAGGCAGCCACTTGCCGCACGATGAGATGAGCTGTGAACACGTGTTTGCTTTTCAATAAAATATATTTCTATATATTTAGAGAGATGTCGGGCTTTTATAGGCCGCCAGCCAGGATATTGAAATTGTTGGCATTGTCAACCCCGCGTTAAAACGACAATTACGTGTATCTAATAAAGGATAACGGAGGTACGGTCTGGAAACCATAGACCGGAAACCAAGTTCGGGAAGGGGAGCTTAGATTTAAGTAGCTGATAATGCCGAAGTTGACGCGTGACGGGCAATTCTCCGGTATTTTAATAACAATTTGAACAATAAAAGTCAGCTTTTAATCGCCACAACAGAGCTTAGCTTTATCTCATTAAAGGGGTGTATTACTGCAGTACATGATTATTTTTTCAATTACATATACTTTATTTCTATATAAACTTTATTAGTCGCAAAATAAAATGGCAGAATTTGGGTTCTTAATGGTCCCGAATTATAAATCGATTCGTTTCTCTTTAAGAGGTTTCTTTTAATCATCCTTTTTTCTACGTATAAAATTTATTATATTCCTTATTTTAATAATAATAAGATATTAAAAACAAAGAAACTTTTAAAACATTTTATATGAGAATTACCTGACATTGAAAGGATTAAGAAAATATATACTTTAGTCGCTTGAAACATTGCTTAGCTTTTAAGAGGGTGTAAATAATAACAGATCTTAGATATACCCACAAATCAGCGCTGAAAAGCGCGCTCCAAATTTCTCCCAAGTTGTTTCGGCGCACACTAATAAGTTAATCAAACTAATTGCAGGAGAGGAGGGCACTTTCCGCAACTGGGGAAAGGATGGGGAAAATATCTCTGTTGCCAGTTGGCAGCTATAAATTCCGCACATGCCCCGCCCCCACCGCAACCCCTTCAACCGAACTCACCCCATCCGAAAGCCCTAAGTATGCTGTAAGCCATGAAAAAGGGTTGTTGCTTCTGGTGCTCGTTGACTGCTTTGGAATTCCGGAGAAACGGCTGCTTCTGCTGTGACACGAACATGTTAATTGCCCCCGACCGACGTTGCCAGGACCAGGATTCGTATCCCTTCCCAGCTTATCCAAAGTCACAACTTGTTCCACAAAGTTCTTAAAAATTGACGCACGCTTTGTTTCCTTTGCTTTTTAATTAAAAGTCCGGAGCGAGTTGCAAGAAGGGATTTGGAAACGTTATGGTTATGACCATTGACCACTGGTCAGTTGAGCTTTGTTAAGCTGTCTAAATTGGCTAAAGAGCTCGGACTCTTTGGCATTGCTGGTCACTTGGCAACAATCACAGCACAGGCAGGTCAGCTGGATCGACGGGATGGGTTAAAAAAGACTTTACATGCGTTACATGTGAGGCGACTTTATTCATTAGTCAACTTTTCCACGATGTGGCCAATGAACACAAAAACTTAAGAGGATAAACAATGAACGAAAAAGGTATAAAAAACGATAACGTTTCTTTGATGCATAATTACACGGATTTGTGACTTCTTTTTAGTTACATCTCGTGGTTAAAAAAGCTATTCATACTATCAAAATTTTGCAATATGATGATGATTATGATTTTTCTTCTCTTATATACATAGAAAACATCTTAAATAAAAGGTTCTTCGCTTACATGTTTTTTCATTGTAATTAAAATAAAACAAATTAAAAAGGTATATGTTCAAAGGTTTCTTATTCAAAACAAAAAAACTAATAGCCAAATTTTATTTTTTCTTGACAAAAGAAAATGAACAGCAAAATTAAAATGTTTCTCTTTATCTTACATAGTCACAAATTAAATTCTGATCTTAGATAATTTCACTTTGAAATACTTAAGTTGTTTTGAAACATTCTACAAATTAACCTTTTCTTTTTAACTGAATATTGCCTGAATATTTTCTTAAAAATAGTTTCTTAATATTTAGAAAACAAGTTACTTTTGATCTTACTCTTAATTCGGCTGGTGTTCCCCTAATGAACCCTTTATAATTCCACTGCCGTAATAGGCAGTCAGAGCCACCATCCTGGTGTCCAGATAATTGTGCTCCACCTCGCACTGCTGTCCGGCTCCACTCAAGGCGATCACTTGGCTCATGTTTGCGTTGCGTGGCAGAAAGTAGGCAACGTCATCCGCCAGTCGACGCGAAAGCTGCATCAGATGACTGGCGCCTACAGGAAGAAGACTTTGCTCAATATCAAAGACTGCCTGCTTCTGGTAGTCGGGACCACCCCAAGGAGGACTAAGAACACTACATTTGGGCGAATCCTGGTGCTGGCCGCAAACTGCAGGAAATCGGCATGAATAACTCAATCTTGTGGGCCACACCATAAATGCCGGCATTGTGCTTCGCCATAGCTAGCTTCTCCGCATCGATGTCGATGGCAATGACGCGTCCGCAGGTGTTGGCGAACTGGATGGCATTGCCACCGCATCCACAAAAAGCATCCACGATGATATCGCAGGCCAGTCGCCGGGCCGTTTGTTTGGCAATCTTCTCAGGAGTCACCGAGAACCAGCTCTCGCGGTCCAGCCGGATGCCCTGGTCGAAGCGGGAGAACAAGGAAAATCGCTTAAACCAGTACTTCACCATCCGGCTGTTCTCCTCCAGCATAAACTCGGGCATCCTGGCCTTGAGTTTGTTGGCTTGCCTTTGCCGACGTTTATTCTTTTTGACGCCACCATTCTGAACGCCATGGAGAGCGCTGCTATCGTTGTCACCCATTATTAACAGATCGTCACTATCCTCGCTATCGCTGCTAGATGATTCAGTTACCGGCTTTCTTTGTTTTGGGTCTTGTGAACTCCCTTGGAGGCAAAGGATGTAGGCAATCCTAGAAGTAGCACTGCTGTTCCTCGTCAATATTTCAGGATCGTCGTTGGCAGTCAGATAGGATTCGTCCTCCTCGCTCTCTGTGGATTTTCGCTGTTTGCACTTTTTCGGGTATTGTTAAGGCTCAAAGTCTGTAAATCCTGTTCAAGTTCTTCTGGCGCTGCATTTAATTTAAAGCCAAATGATTTTGCAATTCGTTTTGGTAGTTCTCGAAGGCACAGCTAAAAATGTGCCAGAACTTGGCACTCGAATCGCTGGCGTGTTCCTCCCACAGTTCCTTCCATAGGGCTTGCTCCTCAGGCGTCACAGACTCGATAAGGTCCTGGTATTCGGGAAAGCGCTTGTGCCACTTCTGCTCCAGCAGCTCGTGCCCCTCACGCTGCCAGAACTCCTGCCAGGCAACGTTTTGAATTCCCTCCCAATCGCACTGGCTGCTCCAGTCGAGATCGTCGCCAAAGAGCTGGCTGAATATGTAGAACTGGGGATTGGTTCTCGAGGTGGTGAGGTAGTGTGTGTTCATCTCACGGTCAGTCCCCGGATCTCCAACCTGCGACTCAGCAGATCTTCGGCTCTGTCGATAGACTGGATGAACCATAAATCGATGGCCGGTTTGTGGGTGAGACGTAGCCAGCTGAGGTATTCCTTCTTGGCCGCCGGATCATGGGACAGGCTGGAGAGCTTCTCGTGGACTCCGCGGGCAGTCAGTGTGCGACTGTTGGGATGCACCACATTGCAGAGGACCACTTCGCCGCGCACAATGCAGTAGGAACCGGTGGCCACGCTCTGTTCGACGGCTTTGTCGTGGGTGAGTCCCAAAAGGAGCAGAGATATGGTGCCCTCGGGTAAGGATAAGGACCTGGAAGTTCGTAAATTACTAATCACACTCTAATTGATCTTTTGTTTATCATAACTTACTCCGGGAGGCTCTTAACGCGCACGTTTTCCAAGCGATAGAATTTCGACTCTAGCACCAGTCGTCCAATTATTGCGCATTGGCCGTAGTGTAGCCTCTGAAAGTCCGTCTCCAGCTCGAGTTCCTCTACCAGCAGGGTCTTGAAGAAGTGACAGTACTCGGGGCAGCTACTACAGGCTCCTGGTTCATCACTTTCTTGGAAAAGCCGTGGAGCTCCGAATAAAATTAAAACACCCAAAACAAAACAAAACTGCATGGCTTGCCGGCTAGAGTGACCATCAACCTAGCAAGCACAATGTGGCTAACCTATCGATAGTTTGTGTGCTAGCTATCGGTGTGCTTTTACCATCACTAAAAACAGCGGCATTATTTTGTATAGAGCGTAAAATTTATATTTTCTTAGTAAAAAGTGGTTTAAAAAAATTCAGCATGTCTTTTATGAACCCCGTGGATATGGTAGACGAGGACGCCGCCGACCTACAGTTTCCCAAAGGTAACCGACGACGCCCCACTAACCAAATCCCAACTTACAAGTGAAACTGGCTGATGATCTTTGGCTTCGAGTGCCCCGAAAGCGGCGCTCCTCCACATGTTTACCACATTGAATTACCTTTTTGCAGTTGAGCCACTGGGGGTTGAGCGCTTCGCACATGCTCGCCCAGATTGGAACACCAGGAGCTCCACGGTGGTGTACAAGCCACACTCGTTGCACAGGCAATTGGAGCAGCTGGAGGAATTGGCGCGGGATGAGAACAGCGCTGTTCCAGTGGCTCCAAATGACTCCAGTCGCTGTGCAACGTGTCGCAGTAGTCTAGCAGAGCCCTACATAAGTGCTCCGAATGTCTGGACATCGTGCTGTGCCTGCAGTGCTTCGCGCGGGGAAGGAGGTCTCCTCGCACCGCAACAATCATGCCTACATCATAGTCCGCGACAGCATCCAGTTTTCGCCCAGGAACCGCATTGGACGGCCCGGGAGGAGCGAATCCTGCTGAAGACTCTCCGCACCCAGGGCTACGGAACTGGGAGGCGGTATCGCAGCCCTGGACCAGAGGCACGATCCCTCGGAAGTGCGACGCCACTACCACGATTGTTACTTTGGCGGGATCTTTGAGAGGCTACTCAAACTGCAGCATGCAGGCACAGCTACCTCCCGAGCGGATGCCGTACGTCTTCAAAATGCGCAGCCTGACCCACCGCGACATGATGACATCGCCTCCATGCAGTTTAAAAATAGTGCGGGCTATCGCTGTGCAAGGGGCGACTTTGACACTCCCTATGACACCTCCGCGGAGAGTCTACTGTCTATTATGGTGGATCACAGAGGCAGGGATGAGGATCAGGAGACGGCGGAGAGCGAAGTAGAACGCGAGGTGACCGAGGAACTGCAGCTGGGACTGGTGCGGGCATATAACAATCGCCTGAGGTAAGAATCCGTATCAATCTTGCTTAATAATCAACTAAAGATCCATTAAATCCCAGAGAGCGCCAACGTCGATACAAGATCATGCGGCAGCACGGTTTGATAATGCCCAATCGCACTGTCAGCTGGATTTCCAAATATATGCACGCCTTTAGCGCGATACTAGTTGCATGCGATTCTTAGTCTTCATGCAGATCTGTCCGGATCCCATTCAGTTCGACATGCTCCTGGAGTCTCTTCGTTATTGCCGGGAACTGCACACCTGGCTGCATAAGCTTTATGATCTGCGACAGCACGGCGTGCGCACACTTTCGGGAGGCAAGCTTTATGCCCGCCTGTACAAGGAGCGTCAACACGCTTATCGGGACTATGCCAGGCAGAAGCAATTGGACGGCTTTGACTGGCAGCACTTGGTACAGCACTACGAGACAACCGCAACGGAGAGCAGCTGCCACTGGGCATCAGTTCGAAGTTCTTTGCCATGAACACCCGCCGCAAGGCGAGCCCCATTGAGATTGGAGGTAAAAAAATCACACATCCTCGTCGAAAGCCGCCTAAATTGTTCTTGATTTCCAGATCTGCCTGGTTATTCCAAACTGGACGATGGCGAGCGAAAGCTGTGCAGTGTGGTTCGTTGGTTCCACAGTCTTATCTAGACTACAAAACCAACTGGTTTCGGAGCACTCCAAGCTCGGATATCTTCGATTGGCCGATGCGCGACGTCTCATTAAGATAGATGTGAACAAAACGCGTCAGATCTATGATTTTCTGCTGGAACAGGGCCATATTAGCAGGCCTCCTTCCTACAGCTAGACATAATCACTTGTTTCACTTGTAAATTGCCTTCATTTCGTTCCCTGCCAACTGCTAACGAACCCATTTGCTTGGTATTCGTTTCAGAGTTCGAAAATGCCGAGACGCTGCTGATATCGGAGGTGCACATGCTGCTCGATCATCGGAAACGGCAGAACGAATCCGCCGACGAGGAGCAGGAGTTCTCGGAGGTGTTTATGAAGACGTACGCCTACACGGACAGTTTTCGAAAGTTTAAAACAAGGAGACCATCATGTCTGTGAGAAGGTACTTAACAGCAATCAAATCATTCTTATTGGGTATACATTTTTATTTATTTGGTATCTTGGCAGCTTGCTGATGCAGAAAAAGCTTCACAAATTCGAGCTGCCGCCCTGGTAATCTGTGTCCAGAGGCGCCAGAGGAGGCCAAGGCATTGATTCCCTCGCTGGAGGGTCGTTTCGAGGACGAGGAGCTGCGGCAAATACTAGACGATATCGGCACTAAACGCAGCTTGCAATACTAATCACTACATATAATATTAGCATAAGTTTAAAGGTCTGGATTAAAAATAAAATCAAGAAGTGGAAGAATTTTAATCGAAATATACTTGGCTATCAACAAACGAATATTAATTTAATTCAGTAAAACCCACGATGAACTGAAGATAATTTTCATAGTTTGAATACTCCAGATGTTAACACATTTTCATGTTTAATATCTTTTTATTTTCAATGGGTTTTAGAATAATACCCCAAAACTCAACTTCCAGATTCCATAACTTTAGTAATTGGATCCCGATTTGGACGTGGGATACTTCTATGAGTTTGCCGTTAAATTCTCTAATAATCTGCATTTAAATATTTATCTTAAAAGATAGTCCAAATTTTAACCCATTTTCATGTTGGATATTTTCTTATTTCCAATGGGTTTCAGAACAATACCCCAAAACTCAAATTCCAGATTACATAACTTTAGTAATTGGATCCCGATTTGGACGTGGGATACTTCTATGAGTTTGCCGTTAAATTCTCTAATAATCTGCATTTAAATATTTATCTTAAAAGATAGTCCAAATTTTAACCCATTTTCATGTTGGATATTTTCTTATTTCCAATGGGTTTTAGAACAATACCCCAAAACTCAACTTCCAGATTCCATAACTTTAGTAATTGGATCCCGATTTGGACGTGGGATACTTCTATGAGTTTGCCGTTAAATTCTCTAATAATCTGCATTTAAATATTTATCTTAAAAGATAGTCCAAATTTTAACCCATTTTCATGTTGGATATTTTCTTATTTCCAATGGGTTTTAGAACAATACCCCAAAACTCAACTTCCAGATTCCATAACTTAGGTAATGGGAACCCGATTTGGACGTGGGATACCTCTATGAATTTGTGGTTGAATTCTCTAATAATCTACATTTAAATATTTATCTTAAAAGATGGTCCCAATTTCAACCCATTTTCATGTTGGATATTTTCTTATTTGCCTTGGGTTTTAGAACAATACCCCAAAACTCAACTTCCAGATTCCATAACTTTAGTAATTGGATCCCGATTTGGACGTGGGATACCTCTATGAATTTGTGGTTGAATTCTCTAATAATCTACATTTAAATATTTATCTTAAAAGATGGTCCCAATTTTAACCCATTTTCATATTGGATATTTTTTATTTCCAATGGGTTTTAGAACAATACCCCAAAACTCAACTTCCAGATTCCATAACTTTAGTAATTGGATCCCGATTTGGACGTGGGATACTTCTATGAGTTTGCCGTTGAATTCTCTAATAATCTGCATTTAAATATTTATCTTAAAAGATAGTCCAAATTTTAACCCATTTTCATGTTGGATATTTTCTTATTTGCCTTGGGTTTTAGAACAATACCCCAAAACTCAACATCCAGATTCCATAACTTAGGTAATGGGAACCCGATTTGGACGTGGGATACCTCTATGAATTTGTGGTTGAATTCTCTAATAATCTACATTTAAATATTTATCTTAAAAGATGGTCCCAATTTTAACCCATTTTCATATTGGATATTTTTTATTTCCAATGGGTTTTAGAACAATACCCCAAAACTCAACTTCCAGATTCCATAACTTTAGTAATTGGATCCCGATTTGGACGTGGGATACCTCTATGAATTTGTGGTTGAATTCTGTAATAATCTACATTTAAATATTTATCTTAAAAAATGGTCCAAATTTTAACCCATTTTCATGTTGGATATTTTCTTATTTCCAATAAGTTTTAGAACAATACCCCAAAACTCAACATCCAGATTCCATAACTTTAGTAATTGGATCCCGATTTGGACGTGGGATACCTCTATGAATTTGTGGTTGAATTCTCTAATAATCTACATTTAAATATTTATCTTAAAAGATGGTCCCAATTTTAACCCATTTTCATGTTGGATATTTTCTTATTTCCAATGGGTTTTAGAACAATACCCCAAAACTCAACTTCCAGATTCCATAACTTAGGTAATGGGAACCCGATTTGGACGTGGGATACCTCTATGAATTTGTGGTTGAATTCTCTAATAATCTACATTTAAATATTTATCTTAAAAAATGGTCAAAATTTTAACCCATTTTCATGTTGGATATTTTCTTATTTCAAATGGGTTTTAGAACAATACCCCAAAACTCAACTTCCAGATTCCATAACTTTAGTAATTGGATCCCGATTTGGACGTGGGATACCTCTATGAATTTGTGGTTGAATTCTCTAATAATATACATTTAAATATGTATCTTAAAACAAGGTCCCAATTTTAACCCATTTTCATGTTGGATATTTTCTTATTTCCAATGGGTTTTAGAACAATACCCCAAAACTCAACTTCCAGATTCCATAACTTTAGTAATTGGATCCCGATTTGGACGTGGGATACTTCTATGAGTTTGCCGTTAAATTCTCTAATAATCTGCATTTAAATATTTATCTTAAAAGATAGTCCAAATTTTAACCCATTTTCATGTTGGATATTTTCTTATTTCCAATGGGTTTCAGAACAATACCCCAAAACTCAAATTCCAGATTACATAACTTTAGTAATTGGATCCCGATTTGGACGTGGGATACTTCTATGAGTTTGCCGTTAATTCTCTAATAATCTGCATTTAAATATTTATCTTAAAAGATAGTCCAAATTTTAACCCATTTTCATGTTGGATATTTTCTTATTTCCAATGGGTTTTAGAACAATACCCCAAAACTCAACTTCCAGATTCCATAACTTTAGTAATTGGATCCCGATTTGGACGTGGGATACTTCTATGAGTTTGCCGTTAAATTCTCTAATAATCTGCATTTAAATATTTATCTTAAAAGATAGTCCAAATTTTAACCCATTTTCATGTTGGATATTTTCTTATTTCCAATGGGTTTTAGAACAATACCCAAAACTCAACTTCCAGATTCCATAACTTAGGTAATGGGAACCCGATTTGGACGTGGGATACCTCTATGAATTTGTGGTTGAATTCTCTAATAATCTACATTTAAATATTTATCTTAAAAGATGGTCCCAATTTCAACCCATTTTCATGTTGGATATTTTCTTATTTGCCTTGGTTTTAGAACAATACCCAAACTCACTTCCAGATTCCATAACTTTAGTAATTGGATCCCGATTTGGACGTGGGATACCTCTATGAATTTGTGGTTGAATTCTCTAATAATCTACATTTAAATATTTATCTTAAAGATGGTCCCAATTTAACCCATTTTCATATTGGATATTTTTTATTTCCAATGGGTTTTAGAACAATACCCCAAAACTCAACTTCCAGATTCCATAACTTTAGTAATTGGATCCCGATTTGGACGTGGGATACTTCTATGAGTTTGCGTTGAATTCTCTAATAATCTGCATTTAAATATTTATCTTAAAGATAGTCCAAATTTTAACCCATTTTCATGTTGGATATTTTCTTATTTGCCTTGGGTTTTAGAACAATACCCCAAAACTCAACATCCAGATTCCATAACTTAGGTAATGGGAACCCGATTTGGACGTGGGATACCTCTATGAATTTGTGGTTGAATTCTCTAATAATCTACATTTAAATATTTATCTTAAAAGATGGTCCCAATTTTAACCCATTTTCATATTGGATATTTTTTATTTCCAATGGGTTTTAGAACAATACCCCAAAACTCAACTTCCAGATTCCATAACTTTAGTAATTGGATCCCGATTTGGACGTGGGATACCTCTATGAATTTGTGGTTGAATTCTGTAATAATCTACATTTAAATATTTATCTTAAAAAATGGTCCAAATTTTAACCCATTTTCATGTTGGATATTTTCTTATTTCCAATAAGTTTTAGAACAATACCCCAAAACTCAACATCCAGATTCCATAACTTTAGTAATTGGATCCCGATTTGGACGTGGGATACCTCTATGAATTTGTGGTTGAATTCTCTAATAATCTACATTTAAATATTTATCTTAAAAGATGGTCCCAATTTTAACCCATTTTCATGTTGGATATTTTCTTATTTCCAATGGGTTTTAGAACAATACCCCAAAACTCAACTTCCAGATTCCATAACTTAGGTAATGGGAACCCGATTTGGACGTGGGATACCTCTATGAATTTGTGGTTGAATTCTCTAATAATCTACATTTAAATATTTATCTTAAAAAATGGTCAAAATTTTAACCCATTTTCATGTTGGATATTTTCTTATTTCAAATGGGTTTTAGAACAATACCCCAAAACTCAACTTCCAGATTCCATAACTTTAGTAATTGGATCCCGATTTGGACGTGGGATACCTCTATGAATTTGTGGTTGAATTCTCTAATAATATACATTTAAATATGTATCTTAAAACAAGGTCCCAATTTTAACCCATTTTCATGTTGGATATTTTCTTATTTCCAATGGGTTTTAGAACAATACCCCAAAACTCAACTTCCAGATTCCATAACTTTAGTAATTGGATCCCGATTTGGACGTGGGATACTTCTATGAGTTTGCCGTTAAATTCTCTAATAATCTGCATTTAAATATTTATCTTAAAAGATAGTCCAAATTTTAACCCATTTTCATGTTGGATATTTTCTTATTTCCAATGGGTTTCAGAACAATACCCCAAAACTCAAATTCCAGATTACATAACTTTAGTAATTGGATCCCGATTCGGACGTGGGATACCTCTATGAATTTGTGGTTGAATTCTCTAATAATCTACATTTAAATATTTATCTTAAAAGATGGTCCCAATTTCAACCCATTTTCATGTTGGATATTTTCTTATTTCCAATGGGTTTTAGAACAATACCCCAAAACTCAACTTCCAGATTCCATAACTTTAGTAATTGGATCCCGATTTGGACGTGGGATACTTCTATGAGTTTGCCGTTAAATTCTCTAATAATCTGCATTTAAATATTTATCTTAAAAGATAGTCCAAATTTTAACCCATTTTCATGTTGGATATTTTCTTATTTCCAATGGGTTTCAGAACAATACCCCAAAACTCAAATTCCAGATTACATAACTTTAGTAATTGGATCCCGATTCGGACGTGGGATACCTCTATGAATTTGTGGTTGAATTCTCTAATAATCTACATTTAAATATTTATCTTAAAAGATGGTCCCAATTTCAACCCATTTTCATGTTGGATATTTTCTTATTTCCAATGGGTTTTAGAACAATACCCCAAAACTCAACTTCCAGATTCCATAACTTTAGTAATTGGATCCCGATTTGGACGTGGGATACCTCTATGAATTTGTGGTTGAATTCTCTAATAATCTACATTTAAATATTTATCTTAAAAGATGGTCCCAATTTCAACCCATTTTCATGTTGGATATTTTCTTATTTCCAATGGGTTTTAGAACAATACCCCAAAACTCAACTTCCAGATTCCATAACTTTAGTAATTGGATCCCGATTTGGACGTGGGATACCTCTATGAATTTGTGGTTGAATTCTCTAATAATCTACATTTAAATATTTATCTTAAAAGATGGTCCCAATTTTAACCCATTTTCATGTTGGATATTTTCTTATTTCCAATGGGTTTTAGAACAATACCCCAAAACTCAACTTCCAGGTTCCATAACTTTAGTAATTGGATCCCGATTTGGACGTGGGATACTTCTATGAGTTTGCCGTTGAATTCTCTAATAATCTGCATTTAAATATTTATCTTAAAAGATAGTCCAAATTTTAACCCATTTTCATGTTGGATATTTTCTTATTTCCAATGGGTTTTAGAACAATACCCCAAAACTCAACTTCCAGGTTCCATAACTTTAGTAATTGGATCCCGATTTGGACGTGGGATACTTCTATGAGTTTGCGTTGAATTCTCTAATAATCTGCCTTTAAATATTTATCTTAAAAGCATATAATTTAAATTAATGGCTTGACTTAATATAAAACCATTTTTATTTATATTGTAAAGATTGAATTAACCGCCTTAAAAGGCCAATGCTGCCGGACCATTTAAGATGAAGAACAGAAACTTATCGATAACAACAAATCCGGCAACCATCTGAAAGAGCCGCGCTTGCAATTGTTTGTTTTTACCCAATAACTTTAAATAAACACATATTAAAGATGAACAAGGACAACTCCAGCATGCAGATGGATCCCCAGTTGGCCCTTCGCCTGCTAGCCGACGGCGGAGTCCTGGTCATCGCCGGTGTCCCCGAGGGCACGGAGTTCGGCATAGATCTATGTGCATACACCATTGGACCTGATTTCCGTGGCGTCAAGATGATTCCACCTGGTGTCCACTACGTGTGGTGCTCATCTCGTGGTCCCTACGGTGATGCAGCTCCACGCGTTGGCTTCGTGCACTTCTTCCATCCCAACGAGATTGTGGTGCGCGAATGGGATCACGAGCTGGAGGAACTGCGTCCACGACGGATTGCCGAACCGGAGGTGGAGCGCGACCGAATCCGCAAGAACCTGGCACAACTGGAGCGGATGCTGGCGCCCTACGACTACCGCTACGTTGTCCAGTGGAAGGAGCTCACCGGCAGCGTGACGGAGCAATGTGTGGATCGCTGTCGGCCGACCGAGGGAACCATACGAACGAACATCGAACTGCAGTCCTGCCCGGATGCGGAGCGTCCCAGGGGATCGGCGGGAACGAGCAGCATCAGCCGCCGGAATGCCGCCGCCCGGCTCCTGTTGGATGAGAGCGAACTCCTGCCTGACTTAAAACCCGTGGAGGGAACTGCACCACGCTTTAGTAACGTACCCCAGCGTGTTCCTCAGGATGCCCCGCCCGCAGATGTCTCCGACATGCCATGGACTGCATAGAAGTGTGGACAAGTTGTTCGAAACTTCGACACCGCCGACGGACTCATTGAGGAACTGCAGCTGGCCTACGTTTTCTTCCTAGTGGGCTACTCCGTAGAGTCCCTGCCCACTGGCGTAAGCTTCTGGGCTTGCTGGCTCACTCGGAAACGGCGGTGACTAAACACAAACTGGCGTTCATGAAGTATAGCGAGGTACTGGCCCATCAGCTGCCCCATTTGCCCGAAGAGCTGATGGTGCCCAGTCCGCACAATACGGTGTACAAAGATGTACGCGAACTGTTGGTCAATCTGCATGCAGGCGGCTTAAGTGTAAGTGCCGAGCGGCTGAGCAAGGACTGGAGAAAAAGCTGGGATGGGTTTTGAAGGCTGCTGGACGAAGACCCCGAGGATCAGCCCGTGGTTATTGAACTTCCGGAGCCCTAGGGGAACAGCACTACGCATGAAATGTAATTTATATATATTTATGCAATACAATCGACTGAAACTGATATATTTGATTTTAGCGCAACGAGTGCTGGGTGCGCAAATAGTTCCACAGATCCCGGGCCGTGCGGATGCTGACCATGAATTGGCACAACTTGGTCTCGATCAGGCAGAGGATCAAGAACTTGGCTCGCTTGTCCTTCAGCAGGGACTGCAACGTAATGCGGCATGGGCAGGGGTTTGATGTACGCTTATGTGGATCCACACTCACCTCTTCGTTATTCTCGGGACCATTTTCAACCACCGACCAGAGTGCCTCGGACTCCAGATACGCCCGCACAGTCATCGACCAGGCCTTGTAATTGTCCAGACCTTTGAGCTTTTCGATTTGCAGCTGCAGTGCCATCTCCGAGACTCGAGCTACGTTTTGCAACTAAACCGCAGTTTTGCCCTTTGCTGTTTTCCTACCTTTACCATTGCCTCTTTCAGTTGCTGTCCAGATTTTCAAATATAGATATCTAAGTATATGTATATGGCTTTTCCATTGTGCGCATCAGCATGCAGAAAACAATAGCCACTAGACCCACTTTTTCTTGTTGCTTCTGGCCCAACGAAAGTGCTGGCCAAATGACATTGAGCTTAAGTGGACACTTCTGATTTGACGCAGCAGCGTTGTAGTTTTCTTGTCTGCCTGTATGTACAGACTGCCGGTTTAGTTCGGCATATATAGTGCGCTTTTGAGCTTACATCCTTTTGTACAACTTTTAATTATCTGAAAAGTGTTTCTTACCAATTATTAGTCGGAAGATACCGAAAAAAGTGATAAGGAGTGTCAAAATGATTTATTATCAAGCTATTCTTAAGTGCGTAGGGAAAATACAAAATCTGTAATACAAAATACTAATATCAAGAGCTAAAATCCCTGTCAAATAAATAATATATTTTTTTATTATTATTGATAGGCGTCACTCGAAAGAACATTTATCTATCTATTGAAGACATTTGTCTGGTCCTATAAAGCAAAACTCCGCTCTATTGTATTGAACATCTCGCTGATTGGCTCTGCCCATTTCGTAACCCCATAAACACACGAGCCGAAACTCAATTAACAATAAATTGTGATGCCCAATTGTTGTTTGTTTTTATGATTTTTATTTGAAATGAATACGAATGTCAGTTTTAGCTGCTGGTTTCTTGTATTGCTGTTGTTCTTCCGTTCAAGAATGTTGCGGTTGTTGTTGCTGCGGCTGATTTATGCTTAATTAACTTTCTGCACGGGCCTTTTCTTTTTAGCGACTGCGAATTATTAGTCTGACCTCTTTTCTTTCGCGCCTCATTTATCAAAAAAGAAAATGGAGAGCCGTGAAAAAGCTCGTGCGAAAATTCTCCTGTAGCTGCTCATCATCATCATGTCATTCTATTTTCTTTCGCTAATCACGCAAACACGCTACAGATAATGCTGCCGTTGATGTTGTTCTTGTAGGGGATTTCGTTTAGTCGTTTAAGCTAAATCAAATGATATTTCTCGTCTGTTGCGGTTCTAGATTCTGTCCAGGGATTGGGGGTATTTTCTCTTTAAATGCTGAGAGGATTTTGGAAAGGGCTGCTGGATGGGTTAGTTTCGGGGGGGCAGGGGGAAAAAGTTCGAAATCTCTACAAATTACATAAGTGGTAGGCATAGAAAATATACAAGTATATATGTATACAATATATATATGTACCGTTGTTTTTTTGTTTTTGTATTCTTTTTGTTTCTTGTATTTAGCAACTACAAATACTTTTCTATATTATTAATATGTTTTCTTTGTTGCGCAAGGTAAGAGATGATGAGAAAAATTGTTGCGATTGCGATGGAGAACACAAAACGAAAAGCGAAAAACAGAAATCAACCAAATTCCCGTTCGATTTGTTTAAATTTGACCATGCATAATGACCAGTGTGTGGGAGTGTGAGTGAGTGAGTGAAAGAGAGCAAGGAAACGTTAAGAGAAAACAAACGGTTCGTATGCGTATTGTGGGCGTCTGTGCGAGTGGGCGGTGTGTGTATGTGTGTGTGTGTGTGTGCGATTGTATGCGAGTGGGTGTGTCGGTGTTTGAACAGTACACTTACATACATACAAATTTAAGCTTAAGAATTCGTTTTGAATTTCGCTTAACTAACATTCCTTTTTCTCATTTAATATAGTTTTTAGCTTTATTTGCGTCTTTCATTCTGTTTGCTCATTTCGTTTCGTTTACTCCTTTTACGTTTTATTCTTGTATTAAATTTAAATTAATTGCTGTATTTTTCCTTACATTTTCGACTTTATGTTTTACTTTTACGTTTGCGCTTATTAAATCGTTTTTCGTTTTTATTTCCTCGTTCTCACGTTTATTATTGGCTTAAAATTAAAGTTGTATTTTACGTGTTGCTGTTGTTGTTTTTTAAAGTTTAAAAATTAATGCATGCCAACTCGATGAAATTTGCTTTGTGATTTACTCGTGTGTGATTGTTTCTCAATTTTCGTTAAGTGTTTTGACTTTCGTTAATTTCTTATTTGTTTTGTTTTTTTTTTTTGTGGTTTAAATGAAGTTTATTTGTTTTGTTTTTTGCTTCTCATAATTAAATATAATATTTATTTAAATATAATATAATGCTTGGTTTCTCGAATGCAAAAATTTCAAATGTAGTAGAGTTGATGTTGCAGTTTGTTTCTAACGTGGAGGAGCCACATCGCCCAACGACGACAAAAAATAGTGCCGCGAATTCTTTAGGTTGCGATTCCATGCCGCAGCAACAGCCGCGCCACGCCACGCCCACCAGGCCGCCCAATTTTCAAACATTTTGTTTGGTTTTTTTCTGTTTTTGTGCTGTTGTTTTCCATGTTGTTTATTGTTGATGACATAATGTTGCTTGCTGGTTTGCTTGTTGTTGTTGCTGCTTATGTTTCTGATGCCGCTGCTGTTGCTACTTATATACTCGTCTGCTATTGTTGTCGTTCGTTGATTGCGGATGTTGTGGTTGTTGTTGCCGTGTTGTTTCCATGTTGTTGATGTTGCTGTCGTGTTGTTGTTTTTGTTGTTGTTGTTGTATGCATATATATTATATGGTATTATATTTACTTTAGAAGGTATATAATGTGTTTTAAATGGAAGGGCGGGGGTTTACTTAAATTACGACACATCCTGATCCTCAACATCCTGGATTTCTGCTTTGGGCTCGCCATCACCTGCGTTGGGGTCTACTTCTTAGTATAATATATAGAACTTAATAACGGAGCTGATCAAGTGGGTATGTTTATGCTTACCTTCTGCCTGCATATCGGACGTCCATAATGTGAGGTTGTCCCGCAGCAGCTGCATGATGAGTGTCGAGTCTTTGTAGCTCTCTTCACTCAGCGTATCCAACTCGGCAATGGCATCATCGAAAGCGGCTTTCGCCAATCGGCAAGCGCGGTCCGGCGAGTTGAGTATCTCATAGTAAAACACCTGTAATGATCCCGAAAAAGAAAACCATGTATAAGTATAGTGTCCTAGAGAAACATTGATTCAAAATCTCACCGAGAAGTTCAATGCCAACCCAAGCGGATGGGGTGTGTTGGGGGCAGATCGTTCATGGCAATATCGCTGGCCGCCTTGTAGGCAATCAGCGAGTTCTCCGCCGCATCCTTGCGATCTGAACCGGTAGCGAACTCGGCCAGGTAGCGATGGTAGTCGCCCTTCATCTTATAGTAGAATACTTTACTTTCGCCGGATGTGGCGCATGGAATGAGATGCTTCTCGAGCACGTTCAGTATATCCGAGCAGATGTCGCGCAGCTCCTTCTCAACCTGACCCCGGTAGGTTTTGATCATCTCCAGCTTCTCCTCGGCTCCCTTGTTCTCCTCCTTCTGTTCGATCGAGGTGATGATGCGCCACGAGGCACGGCGTGCTCCGATCACATTCTTGTACGCCACCGACAGCAGGTTTCGCTCCTCGACAGTCAGCTCGACGTCCATGGAGGCGACCTTCTTCATGGCCTCCACCATTTCTTAAAGGGAAAAAAAGATGGTTCAAAATGGCTCTTTAGTATAGAAGTTTAACTATGCAACCCAATTTTCCCATGCATATATAACAGTCCCTAAGTCTTGGGTATATTTTAATAGTTTTGAATTGCTTCAATTAAGACATAGTTTTATTTATTCTCTTGGCATTGCCAGACATCTATAGAAAGTATACAACGATGAGTCAGCTAATAAAAAAATTAAAATTCCATTCTCTTTTATAATTAAAAAACAGTTATCAGACCCTATTCGTCAACATTTATATAGAATATAAATTTTTAATGATTCATCATAAATCTTTGCAAAACAACAAAAATTCCAAGTTGTTTTATAGCAATCTTTTATAATGTTGTTAAGATAAATTACTAATTAGATTTTTTTAATATTAATAGGTATCTTACCCAAATTTTGTACATTCTAAAAAAAAACTTCCGTAGAAGCATATACGTTTCTCCAAGGTCTGATAGGCATGATATCTGGGATTTCCCTTTGTCCTTGTCCCCCGCGCGACTAGTCTACCTTCTTTCTATTATCAGTGACACGCCCAATCCAAAATGATATATAAGTCATGCACATATATATTTATGCATAACTTGGTTTGCGTCTACGCCCGATTTAACCGATTCTGTCATACAACTACAGCCCGTGCAATCATCCGTTGATAAGGGATTCCGCCACATTGTTGCACCCCTCCCTATCGCTGGCTCCTTAGGGCATCTTTATCACCTTTCTGCATCACCATCCCAAAACTGCGTCATGAATCACATGCTCGGAACTCCACAAAGAAAAATAAGTAGATTGGTATAGTTCTTCTTATCCATTTGATAGTGTGAGTAATTTTTGATTAAAATATATTCTATGACTGTAACTAGCTAACCAAAGCCCACAGTACTCAACTTTTTAAGCCTAAATAAAACGTTTTCCAGAATTCTGATACATTTTAGAAAATTTCGATCCAAATATATGTAAAATCCAGTATGATACATGGCATCATCAGATTGAAATTTTTTTCCTGTGCTGTCTGGCGAAAAGCAGATGCAGGTTTTATTTGGATGATAACAATATAGAGCAGTGCTTAAAAAATATTGTAATTGTAGAGCTGCTTTTAGCTTTTTGCTTCCGTTGCTGACTTGCACTTGCGCCCTCTCGCTCGCACCCATTGCCCCAGTCAGCTGCTGACGTAGTTCGCACTCAGACACCCGCACAGTTCCCACAAACACACTCACACACACACACACACACGGCGGGACATTTGCCGACTGTCTGCTTGTTGTTGTAGCACGTATTTGTGAAATTTTGCCAATAAACATGCATGATTCACGAATTTTTGTGGTTTCGGATGAACTTCAAAAATTGTTGTTTGCATTGGCGACTATTTGAAATTGCAAATGCATACGCATTTTGCAACACTGACAAGGTTGCGTTACGCATAAAAAAAACAAGAAAATGAACTTGGGGCAGGATAAGGAGATGGGGGGGGGGGGGGGGGGGATGGGATCCTCCCAGCCTTAAAAGTATACAGCACATGTTGCTTAGTAGTAATCCACTACCAATTATGAGGCATGCGCGTCAGCCCAGTCACTAAAATTATACATATAGAAAGGCGAAAATCA